CTCACTATGTGTTAACAGACCTCTCTGCATTGAATCATATCTGTTATTAACCTCTGTCTCTCTTCCACAGCATGTCTTTATCCTGTCTTCCTTTGCTTTTGTTTGAACTCTTATTCAAATAAAGGCTTTTTGTTATCATCCACCTCCATCCTTGTCTGTATTCTGGGTCCACATTCACCTGATTCCACGCCGTTGACCAGACGTGACACCTTTTGTGATTTGTCACTCGTTCTGTGTGTTTTCTGGGACACCTGGATGTCATCTACATAAAAGTGAACTTTCCTGATTTTCACTGCAGTGGAGAAAATTCAGAACCAAGATGAAAGGCTGTGACGAATAAAACAGTGATGGATGCAAACAGCCAAGATCAGGTCCTCACGTGAGCAGCTCAGACTGTCAGCGCTCTGCTGTAACAGACCGACCTTATCAGAGTAGATGGACATGCGTGTCGTCAGGCCGACCACGGGGATTCGGTAGAAACCGGCGGTGTAGGAGACAGGCGTTGGAGTCAGGTGGTCGTTGGACTGTGGAGGATGGCTGACCAGAATGGCGTACACCTACAGAGTAAGACAAACACATCTCAGTTCAGATGGTCGAGTAGAAAATGGCACCCGCAGGTTTGATGGATTTTTCTGGAATTACTGTTTGATGTTGGAGGTCTGCAGAAAAGCAGCAGTGAGCTGTGTTTCTGCAGACACGTACACATCTAAACACATCAGCTGGAACCTTTGATTTTCAGTTATTCGTTTTCAGTTGTTGTCAGAGAGACACAGAAATGTTTCCTGTTAATCAGTCCTTCACGTGTAATGACCAGCCCTGTGACGCAGGATTTCTCCACGAACAGCAAACGCTGCAGAGTAACTGCTGAATAACTCCTGCTCTGTGAATCCTACGAGCCAAACGAGGACGTTCACAACAAAGCGTAAAACGTTCTGAAACTAACTCAGGTTACAGTTCAGTGCAAACATCAACATTTCTGTCGCACACAGAAGATACAGATGAAAAGATTCTTAAAATTACATTTGATGAGTTTATTCTTCATATTTGTGTAAATGATGAAGGCAAATTTTCAGTTTATTTTGGCAGATAAATGTAGAGAACGAGGAATCTGCTCACAGCACAGCGTCGCTGACAGCTTGTGTCTAACAGTAGGATGACTTACAGGCCGTTACACTCGTGTTCGTGCTGCATCCTGTAAAACCTGAACATGTGTTTGGATCAGTGCGGTCAGAGTCAGGCTGCTGAGTAACATTTGAAAATATGATAAAGTTTTGTCTGCAATTTGAAATCAGTCAAATAATATAAAAGGCTGGTTTCACTGATATAAACCAGGTTCAGACTGGTCGTGTTTATGACGAGTAAAATCATCCTTCCTGGATCCCAGTTTGAGAAACGGTTCCAAACCTCGGCGATCAGCTTCTTGATGTGAAACTGCAGAGAAACTTTTATCTCCTGCCGAGTGTTTGCAGCTTTAGGACAGAAATCAGAGCGCGTGCGCCGACCCAGAAACTCTTACGTCACTACGGGGCGATCGTGGCTCAAGAGTTGGGAGTTCGTCTTGTAGTCAGAAGGTTGTCGGTTCGAGCCCCGGCTCAGACGGTCTCGGTCGTTGTGTCCTTGGGCAAGACACTTCACCTACTGCCTACTGGTGGTGGTCAGAGGGGCCGATGGCGCGATATGGCAGCCTCGCCTCTGCAGAGACAGCAGCCCGCGGTGACCACTTATGTAACCATCAACAGACTGGATACGAACAACGCTGGAGGGAGGATGTTGTTTGAACGTTAAGGAGAGTCTATTTTTAGACTTCACTGGACCAGCGCTGCCCGCCTTGCTTGCCCTGATGGCCGGTGGTACCTGCGGCGCCTATTTGTGCTCTGCATGTGTGAAAGTGTCAGACTTCCTTCACTTTTGCCGTTTAAAGC